TTTTAAAATCTATTGCATTTGTTTCAAAATTATATGCTATGGTAACTTCAGAAGGTAATGGATGTCCTTCCGCTGTCAGTTGTTCTTTCAATACCGTTTGAAGCTTTGTGTTAAAAACTTTCATGTCATCTCCTGTATCTAAGTTCACATACACAGCAACAGGGAAACTATCTTGCTTCTTTGTTTCATCATTATATCTCAAAACATTAAAGTTCTTCAATAATATTGTTCTTCCTGCTGGAATACTTCTAACCTGTCTTATTTCAATAGCTTTCTCACCTCCTACATACTCTACCCAGTGTCTTGGATATTCATAAGTATACTGACTTTCTTGAATTTTGGTTGGTTTCATCATAACGTGTTCATAGTATATCTTTATACTCTTGTCAGTTAGACTCGGTGCTATGTTCTGAATATTTCTGACTTGCATTTTTAATAAGATTAAAATGAAGCATTTAATACATGATGTAGATGAAGACATGAATGAAACTACAGACAAACTTAACTCTTCTCTCATTCTTCCTTTCAGCAAAGATTATGAATTCTGTTCAAATGGTGTGTATTTCTATTGTGGAAAGATGGGGTCAGGAAAGACATTTAACCTCATTCGTCATATACTCATAACAGAGCGTTTAGGTCAAGATTCATATTATGACCAAATCATTATATCAGCAACTTCAGACTCTATGGATTCAACAGCGAAAACATTCATGAGTAAAGTTCAAGCATCTGTCGTTAAAGTTCCAGACAGTGAACTCATTGAATTTCTTCAACGTTACATTCGACGTAAGAGGAAATATTATGCCATCGTTGAATTTATACAGTCAGGAATGCAAAAGACTTCAGAAGAGATGGAAAGAATTATTGACAAACACCACTTACGTCAGTACTCAGGAGTTTACGATATGAAACGACTGACAAACTACATTCTATCAAAACTTTCAAAATACCCCTTCAAAAAGTATCCTTCAAATACTCTGCTCGTTTGTGACGACTTCGCCGGAAAAGGTTTAGTGTCAAAACCAGACTCACCATTAGCTAACATCATTACTAAAGTCAGACATTACCATTTAACTGTAGCAATACTTATGCAAACATGGCGTTTTCTTGCTTTAAACATAAAACGTCTCATAACTGACTTCGTTATCTTTCAAGGTTTCTCACGCTATGATATTGAACTCATTTGGAAACAGTCAGGTATAACATTACCTTTTGAAGAAATTTGGGAAGCATATAAGTCTCTCATCTCTCCTCGTTCATACCTTGAGATTCATATCATGACTAATACCATTAAAGTCAAAAATATTCCATGGGAACGACCAACATTGTTTTAAATCTTATGCTTTAATTGACTGATGGTAAACAAATTCCATGCATCTCTGTCGCCATTTTTGTTAATATTTTTGCTGTCATTCATATCATCCACTTCCCCATCCGTTAACTTTTGAGGATATGGGTTAGAATAGCTGTTCTTAAATGAAGGCTTTTCACCTTTGAGTGCATAAACTCTATAACTTTCTGCATACTTTATGTTTGAACCTCCTGAGCCATCATTGACATAAATTTTTATAGGTTTCCACCCTTTGTTCATGTTTCTGCTTCTTCCCTTTGCTCTTTTGTTCAGTAGTTCTACATCTTTATACACGGCACCTGTCTCAGTGAATTCAACAATATTTTCATTCGTTAGCTTTACATTCAAACCCTTGTCGAGTATGTTGTTCATTTCATACATATAAAAGGTTTTTATTCTATATGAAATGAGAAGCAAATCCATCTTAGCTGGTGCCGTTAATGTTCCAATTGAACCAACATCAAATGTTGACTCACGAACGACAAACAATATTGTCATAAAGAACTATAGTTCAGAGTGTTTGAAAGAAAAAGAACCAGAACTTAAGTCGGTGAATTTAAACTCAGCTTCAAACGCTAACGCTACATCAGATGTTAAGTTAGAGTATCCACCACTGGACCAAGTTCTTTCAAGAGAAGTCAACGACAATCCTTACACAAATGTTCAAACAAATCCTTCAGATAACGTAGACCATTACCTTCTTCAGTTATATCAAACTATCTTACTCAAAGACGATAAGAAGCTTTTGACAAATCTTATAAGTAAGAACCAAATAATTCTAACAAAGGAGGACCTTGAAAATGTTATATCACGAATAACAGGAAAGCAATGTGTCATTGACTATCTCGACCCTGAAATCGAATGCTGTGGTCAAACTCCACTATTCATGAAAATAGGTAACATCCGCATCATTGAAACACCAGGAACTACAGGAGTTGAGTTTAAGTATAGATATTCGAACGAGTATACAAAACTATCTACTTACTATAAATTATGTCTTAAATATGTTTTAGTAAATTAAAGCAGTCAGGAGGCTCTTTGAGCCCATCTTGGCGCTTTGCGCCGTCAGTCAAAAAAATTTCAAGTTAGCAATTTGTAATATCTATCCAAAACTTCTTCAACAGTATCGAACTCATCTTCATAATGCAAACCTAATCTTATTGACTTGGTGCAGTTTTCACTAACACAATATAGCGCTTTGCGCTCGGCGCCTTTGACGCCTTTTTCTGTTCTCTTGACTGACATAACTAACTCATTTGTTTCATCAAACAGCAACAACCAAAGTTCATGACCTAATACATAACATTCATACTTTATATTTTTAGCTCTGAGTTCTCTTGTAAGCTGTTGCATTTAATATTTTCTAAAAAGTCAACTTCAACAGTCATTCGCACTGGTGCCTTCAGTACTACGGGCTCGCCTTGAAAGTCAACAAGTCTGAATTGCATGTCTTTCAAATTATGAGGACTAATGCGAACCCATTTACCTAAATGAGTTGCTATGACAGGAACGTTTGGAATGAACATTGAATTGACTTCATAACAGAAAGACTTATATTCTACTGAACCTTTACTATTAACTCCTGAAATACCTGTGACATTAGCTATTTTAGACTCAATATACAAACAATTGCCATAACATACGTATGGAACAGATTTCATCTCAATCGTTTTGTCAACACTTTTCAAAGGAAATGTCATATGGTATGCTCCCAGAAGCAATTGAACTCTATGACTCATTCGCGTTATCTTAAACTCCTTCACATAACTGAACTTCAAAACTCCTGCAATAAGTTTAACATTCATTAAGTTTTCTCCGTTATCCTTGTTTATTGTAGTATTTATGAGAGCATTTAACACTCCAGCTAATGTTTCCATCTTATATTCTACATTATTGTGAAATCTTATTTCGTGCTTCTTTCCATCTATTTCAAGCTCCATGAAATCTGTTTCGTCAGTTATAACGAATGAAGCAATAGTATTAAAGTCAACCATTCTGAATGCAAGTGGCTCATTCTGTAGACCTAAGTTTGTTTGTAGTTTTACTGTCCCGTATTCGTTCGGGTCTGTACTTTGCAAATAGAACAACATTTTATTCTCATTAAAATATGAGTATAGCTGCATATGCGTATGAAGCTGACAGAGCTAAACGTTTATATTTTGGTCAATACTCTCTCACACTTACTGACAAATATATTGTTATTTCTGATGGAAATACTGAGAAATATATAACATGGAAGGACTATGAAAAGTTTGACCCAATTTTAACTCCATGTACTATGCCATTCATTGTAAATGGTGAAGTTGTCATGAAGAACGACACAACAGTATATAAGTCTGTTCATGAAGCGTTAGAATATATGTTGAATTATAATCCCGAAAGATTTGACCCAAGCACTACGCCATGTGCAATGCCCTTTATTAAGGATGGTGAAATCGTAAGAGTTCCGAATTCAACGGTTTATACAGCTGTTCAAAACAGTTTACAAAACATTTTAGCGAATATCTTTAATTCAGAAACTACAGAAATAAAATTACCGTATATAACAGATGCTAAAGAAATTAAATCAAAAACAACAACATTATTTACGTCACTTAATGATTTAATGACTTATATCATTAATACTCCTTCTCCGACTACGGCATTTGATCCAAATTCAACGGTTTGTAGTGTACCTTTCATTAAGGATGCTTCATTAATTGAATTAAGGGATTCAACAGTTAATGAATCATTAAAAGCTTCATTAATGAAAATCATTGATTTTAACTCATTCATGAATACATATAATTCATTCATTAATGTTTCATACACTTCTAAAGAAGGTGAGCCAAAAACTATTGATAAAGTGGTGTATGAAATAAAAGCATCAATGACGAAATTGAATTCGTTAACTTTTGATGGTGATAGTTCCGTTAACAGCATGACATCAGGAAAAACGATTTTAACGAAAGAATACTTAAAATCTCATGTTAGTGAGTTCGTTGAAATTGAAAAAGAAGGCGGAATTAAGTTCGATCCACTGAATTTCATTTTCAGCTTAGCGAATGCGGGTGTTAGTTTCGCTGAATGGACAACTATACAGAGTGAAATAAATGCAATATGGATGTTTTTGGGGTCAAAAGCGGGAATGGGTGAGCTTGTAAATGCTGCAAGAACATTAGGTGAAACAGGAAATTTTGTAGATGGTTTTAAAAGACTTGTTTCAAATGTTTTAACAAACACAAAGAAATTATTTAGATATACCGTACATAACGGACGGATTTTCGAACAGGTAGCAACAAACCCTCCGGTTATGGCTGCGTTGATGATGGCTAGAGACATAAAGCCGCGTAACGACGGGAACGAAGAAGAGAAGAAACCAGAGGATACTGGTCGGGTTATTCGAGACATTAAAAACGTGTATCCTGAAGTTATTGATTTATTTAGAGGAGTTAATGATTCAATTTCAAAACATTCTATAACCCTCGATGAAGAGAATAAATTAACAGATTATATATTCGTCATTATTGCAGAATTAATGAAGAGAATAAATGAAAAAGGAATTGGTGATATCATTAATGTAGGCGATGTAATGATGAAAAGAAATTTTGACTCATTATTTACAAAACCGAAAACAGAATATAGTCTTTATGATGTAATTACGGAATTAATGAAGAAAATAAATGATAATAAGAGTTCTGGAGGAAGAGTTGAATTAGAGGTGAATGATGTTAATGAGAAATTAGATAATAAAGCAGATAAAAACCATGTTCATTATATAAGTTCAGATGAACAGATTATAACGGACTACCATGGATATTTAACACAAGATGAAGAAGTGAAGACGAAAGATGTTAATGAAAGAAGATATAAATTCATTCGTGCTAAAGGTTATGACATACACTGTACTGTACAGTATGACACAGGTAAAGCACCAGAAGCATTTGGTTATAACGATGAAATTTATGCTTCATACTTCTTTGTTAACGGTGTATTAGTTGAACCAAGATTTACATTGAGAGTTAAGGCAAAAATAACTTTTGAAGATGCTATTAAAAGTAAAGCTGACAAAGATGAACTTGACGCAACGAACAAAGTTTTGAAATCTCATAAACACAATATCTCCGATATAAATGAACTTCAAACTTCTTTAGACAGTAAAGCAGACAAAAACCATACACATGAATCCTTCACTACTGTTAGAGCAGACGACATAATATTGAACTTTGACCTTGGTTCAAGTGCACCTTTAGAGAATCCAAGTACAAGCGTAAAAGATACACTAAACAATTTAGATAACAGTTGCAGGAATATCGAAGGTCATGCCAGAAACTTTGAAGCATATGAACTACCAGCAATGTTAGATAAGAAAGCAGACAAAACAGAGCTTCAAACATTAAAGACTGAAATACTTCAAACATTATATCCTATAGGCTCTATTTATACGTCAATGAACTCAACAAATCCAGCAAGTGTTTTAGGTTTTGGTACGTGGAAGCAGATTGTAGATAAATTCTTATACTGTGCTAGATATTCAAAGCAAACAGGTGGTTCGAAGAAAATTAAAGAAGCAAACCTTCCACCGCACACTCATACAGGAACTACAAACTTTTCTGGCGACCATAGCCACTCATTAAGAGACCACCCATTATACAACTCAGAGTATGAAGCTGGCAATGATGTTTTATCTCCATCTTATAACAATTCAGCAAAAAAGATTTTTCGACCAACTGAACCAGGAGGAAATCATTCACACACTTTCACAACAAATCCAACAGGCTCGGGTGCAGATTATATGCCACCATTTGTGACTGTATTCGCATGGTACCGCGTTCAATGAAATCTTTAACTTTACTTAAATGAGTTTGAAAGAAGTATTCGAACAACATCCATGGAGGTCATTTAAGAAGTTCAATGAAGCAGCAAAAAGTTGGGGATTTACTAACAGAGCTGAAGTGAAAAAGTTCTTTGACAAAAATGTTGTACATCAAACAAAAATAAACCCTTACGACTACTTTTTACCAATTTACTCCAACACTCCTGACGCATACCAATTTGACACTCTCATTCAAAGCAGAAAAGGAGGACATAAACCATTCCTCATCTTCATAAATGTTAACACTCGTAAAGCATATGCATATCCAATGAGGAACAAAGGAACTCGTGAAGTGTTAAGAGTTTTACAAAAGTTTGTAGCAGAACATAACCCAAGTACTTTAACATCAGACCAGGATTCAGCATACCTCAGCAATGAAATCACAGAATTTCTCATTAAGCATAACATAACTCACTACACTACTGAAGACCATAATCATAACATACTCGGCATCATAAACCGCTTCATAAGAACGCTCAGAGATTTAAACCAAGAGCGAGACTTTACCGAAGAAACAATGAAACACTTTCTCGAAGTATATAATTCCTCAACACATTCTACAACAGGACATACACCAAATTCAATGACACAACAACAAGAAGAAAAGTATATACAAAAGAAACGAAGCCAAACACAAAATATCAGAAATTCAACACAATTTACCCTCATTCCTGGTACAAAAGTTCGTGTAGTTCTTGACGACAAGCCGTTGACAAAGAAACATTTAAGGTTAAGTAGAAACTATTATATCGTAGACTCTACGCAAGGTAATGGATATCTTATAAAAGCTGCTGACGACTCTATTGCGTTTTACCCTCGACATAAATTAGTCGAAAGTAGTAATGGCAAACTTGCTGAAACCATTGACGAAGCAAAGCGAGGAGTGGTTATTGAAATACTTGGCTACAACATAAACGATGACACTTATAAAGTAAGATATGAAGGAGGCGTTGAAGATGTTATACCATCTAAGAACTTGAGAGAGTCAAAGCCAACACATCTGGGACCATTAGAGCGGGAGTATTGGAAAGACAAAAATAAGCCAGAAAGAATAAGAAAATTCATTTAAACTTTTTCGTTGGATGTAAATCAGACATGAATGAGAACAGTCATGAAATTATTAATGTTTTCATAAATTTACACCAAAAATAATGTTTAGGGTAGATGGTTAGATCTAACCTCATTTCTAACCTCATTTCTACCCTCATGAATTTTCATGAATTTCCTTAAGATAGAAAAAATAAAGTTAGTTTTATTTTTATTTATTTTTTTTATTTTGTATGCAAGATATGATTTCAACAATCGGCGGGACTCTGTCCACAACAACAGCACCAAACTCGCTAGTCATGAATCCTACGTCAATGTTGGTAGAGATGAAAAGCTTCATTCCTTCTTCATATACTTTTGAAACAGAAATCCAGAAGATAAAGCAAGAACTTTTAACAAGTAATTTAGACTGTAGTGCGAAAGATGAAACAAATGAACAGTATCTTTATGAAATGGAGGACCTCATCGACCATTTACCCAAATTGCCTGAAATCCAACAACAAAAACTAACTATTCCTGAATTCGACGAAATTGAAGTCAAAGCAACTGACTCAGTAGAAATAAAGAAGTTCATACGAAAGGTAAATTATGAATTCCTTGGTTTTCATTGCAACCATAAAGTTATGGACAAAGATTGCGACATGGTTTATAAAAATATTTCTGACCTTTACAAATCCGAAGAATTTAAGACATACGATAACTTTGTTTCATTAGTTGCAAAATGTGTATGGCAGATAAGAGATAAAGATAGAAGAGGTAAGGTATGGAATGAACAGATAAAACCAGCAGCTTTTGAGTTAAAGAAAACCATTGACGCCTTAGTTGTTCTAGCTGGTTTTATTTCAATGTATAACGCAAAAACGATGCCGCAATGTTCAAAATGTAAAGCAGCAATAGAAAAATATAACTACTCAGTCAAAGAGATAGAAAGAATGCGAAACGACTATGCAGACTTAAAGAAAGAAGCAGAAAAGCCAGCAGAAGATAAAATGGATATGTTGACATTTCTTAATAAAAACTATCCAACAGCAGAAGATTTCCTTCTGTCTGACGTCAAGAAGAAGTATAAAGAAACTTTCGGCATTGTTAAACTTTTGATGTACTAAAAGAAGAAATAGAAGCTACGAAATTGTTTAGGATTTCAAATATACATCGTACAATTCATGTAAAACGCTTGTGAAAAAAGAGGTGAAAAAACAGGTGAAAAAACAGGTGAGATCTCACCTCTTCACCTCAACATTATTTTTATTGAATTCAGCACAAAAATAATGAATTTCATTAGTTATTTTGTATGTAAGAACAGAAATGTCAAACATTGAGTTTGAAACAGTTAGAAAGATAGACAATGACACCAAAGTGGTTAGAATAGGTGATTTAAACGTAAGATACTCAAAGAAATACAACAAATATTCTTTGTCAGACATTATATCTCCATCTGGAAAGAAAACAAACGACTGGGTTAGAATTGCTTCTACTCAGAAAATTTTGACAAGAAATCCTGAGCTTATGATATCAGTAAGATTCTATGGAACTACAGCATATCTTATAGACAAAAGTCTTATACCAATAGTTTTGTTATGGTTAGACCCAGTTGTTGGATATAACTTCATAACTTATGGTTCATTCGATACGGAACGTTGCAGTGAAGGCTTACTTTACATCGTTCAGAAACCGAAGGACTTCAATACAAAGAGATATAAGATAGGAAGAACATATAATATAACTCAAAGATATGACAGTACAGTCAATAGAGTCAAGGTTGTGTTCGTTAATGATATGAGAGCTGCTGAAACAGAACTGCTTGAAGTTTTTGAGAAAATGTATGGTGCTCCACGAAAGGTAAAGAAACGTTTGAAGTAGATGAGATAGATAAAGCTATAAAATTATTTGACGAAGTTGCTGAAAATACATGTAAAGCGTTTATTTTTTGGTCTTTTTGTGAAAGTCAGAAAATAAAGTTAGTTTTATTTTTATTTATTTTTTTTTTTTGTATGTAAAGACAGATATGTCAACAACAGAGAACACAACAACAGTTATAGTCCATGAAGCTATAAATGAAGAATACGAGTACATACAGTATAACAAACAGTTACGTCTCATTCGTTCGGTCAAAGACGATATGTACCAAATGCAAAGTATTTTGAATGCTCTTCGTTCTACAAAGCAAGCATATCATTGGTTTGAAAACCAACAGACAAAAGAACTTTTAGAAGAATTTCCTCATATGATTGCTTCCTCGGAAAAACCGAGAGAAGAGATTCCGTACGAAAATCGCAAGAAATTTGGCTCCTGGTTTGAAAGGTTATTATGTTCATAGACTTTTAGTAAATGCTGTAGCAATGTGGGCTTCACCTCGTTACGCTTGTTATATTTTCATGATGTTAGATGAAATTCATAGACAAGAACGTGAAGAGATGGAAAAGAAACTTCATGCAAAAGATGAAGTCATTGAATCCAAAGACAAAAGCATTCAGAAAAGAATACCACGTTCGGTACCAAAAGGAAAGGAAAAGAGTTATAAGTATATGATATATACTGAAGAGTTGGAGAAAGAAGAAGATAAAGATATGGTTATGTTGCATTTAGTCAGAAGAAACAACAAGAGCTTTTATGACTTAGCTAAAATATATAAATCTGACAGAAACTGGTTCTATCGTGAACACTTACCGATTTCAATGACACCGAATGAGCAAATAAAGGAAATTGTCAAAAATACTCTTCCTCAAACACACTATGACATCAAAGGTTGCACAATATTACATTCAAAGAAGACTTAACATTACTGAAGGAAAAAATAACAGAATATTTCGATAACTTCAAAGAGGAAGAATAAAAAAATCTAAGCTAATTTTATTTTTTTTATAAAATTTTATCTCATATGAAAGAACATGAATTTAGAATATTCGGAACTCATGACAGAAGAAGAGAACGAACAACATGTAAAAGATTATGCAAAATTTCTGAAGACATACAAAGCATTTAAACAATATCTAAATGCTTCTAAAGATTATGCAAAATTTCTGAAGGTATATAAAGCTTATGAAAAAGCGTATGAAAAAGTTTATACATTGGGGAATTGTTGTAAAATATCGATATGAAGACTAACCAAAAATATATTTTCTTATAAAGCTTCAGGTTCAATTTCTTCAACCATTTCACTTCCTTCGTCAATGTCAATAGAAGCTTCTTCAACCTTTGGTAAGAATTTCTGTATAAATCTTTGTTCGTTATTGTCTTCAGAGATGAAGGATAATATTTCACAGATGTTTCACCCTTCTTATATTCTTTCTGTTCGGAAAGATTTAAAGCAATACTGAAGGAGTCAATATTAGAGTTCTTTATAACAGTATAATGAGTATCTTTGACATTCACGAAGAAACTCTTTTGTTTCAAAACTACTGCTAACTCTTGTGAAGTATAACGTTTGCGGTCAATGACGATAGCTAATGGTCTGACATACTGACCAAACTTAGATTCTTTCACAAACTTCTTGTTAAAGATAACAGTAACATTTGAAGCATTATTGAACTCATTCTTGATGGCAGTAGCGAGAGCATTGTATGAAAAGAACTTGCAATCTTGCATGTGTTTCATTAAAATAAAAATATTAAGTTATTTTAAAAA